TCTGTGCACACGAATCTGCTGTGTGTGTGTGACTCTGTGTGTCAGCTATGATATCATCTTCTGTGGTTCCATGCCTAGCATGTACGTCTGAACCATCCTGCAAAGTTTGAATGACGTAGGTTGAGCGATCGCTCCGCGAAACATACTTTTTGAAAATCTCTTCATAGTATATCTTCCACCATTGAAATTTCGAATTTCTTCCAAAAAAGTGATGAGAGGGGTGGCTTGCAACCTCGATATGGCTTGTTCCAGGCATGCTTTGGAGCCATCTTCTGTTGAAGTAGTGGCCGGGATCTGCCCTGCAACTGCTACAACAAAAAATGATTCGATCTGAGAAAGGGTGAGACCGCGAATCTAGGTTGAATATTGAGTATTTCAAGCCTTTTCACGACGAAGATGGAGTTCTTTTTGGAGATGGACGTCGCGGCAAAGGACATGGTGTCCGACTTCTGGCGTCTGGTGAAGCCAGGGATCATTTGTCCAGTCAGGTCGGCAGCCTAACCGTCGGTAAGCTTGTGTTTGGATCCCGTTCTGCTCGATGTGGTAGATCACAAACAATTTGATATCGCACAAATTGATCTCAGCATCGTGCGTACGGTATTTTATATTCAGAAAATCCCAAAGTGTCTCTGTGTGGCCGTCCTATGCCACGAGAAACTCCAATCAGGCTCCTATGTCCTCTGCCTTCATGATTGAATGTCCACTTCGTTTGAACAACGAACACAACAATCGAGGACGGCTTTGCAATGAAAAATACAGCTATACTGGAGCTGAAAAAAAGAAGAAAAAAACGTGCTCAGGATGAGACTCGAGTACACGCATACTCTCCCAGCAGGTGAAACGCAACTTTTTGTGAAAAATGCGTGTCGCCGACTGACCAGTAATTTCGCCTGACGGGCTGCAGTGGCTGATCCTGGTGTACCACAAAGAGCCCCCCCCCCCCCCCCCCCCCCCCCGGAATTACGCGATTCAAGTAACATGATGGAATACAATCTGAGCTGTACTTCAAGTAGTCAAACAATATATTTCCAGGTACACTGTATATCCAGGTACTGCTAGGCGATTCCAGGTGTTTTCCAGGTAATCCCAGGCCTTTCCCAGTTGTTACCAGGTATTCCCAGGTGTTTCCCAGGTGTTCACGAGTATTTCCCTGGTCTTTCCAAGGTGTTTTCCAAGGTATTCGCCAGGCGTTTTCCAGGTATTTACCAGTATCTCCCAGGTGTTTCCTAGATGTTTCCAGGTATTTTCCAGGTATTTCCATGTATTTCCCAGGTATTTCCAGGTGATTCTGGATATTTCTAGCCTACAGTCCATTCAGAAAAAGATGGACTTCTAGCTTTTGGCCATAAAGGGGTCAAACTTGGAGTTTTTTTTCTGCAATCTATGAAATCCTCTTCAAATTATGTTTCTGAAGTCTATTTGTCCAAAAAGCAAGCCAGCACAAGAATAGGATATCGGCCAGGTTTTGCCCCAAAAGCATTGAATTGGGAAAAACCATCAAAATCCAGGTCGTTTGACCGCGCCTGCAACAGTGCATTGTGGGGTTCGAACCCCAGTTCAAGTACCCTTTTTGGACCCTTTTTCAAAGTTCTAATTTCGCAGCGCTGCACTGTGTACAATGAAATCACGAAAAATCGCCAAATACGGGGGTCGCCAAAGCCAGGGCCCATCTTTTTATGAATGGACTGTAGGGCGACACTTACGTAGGTAAATCCCCCATTTCGAGACGAGAGTGTGTGTTTGCAAAGTGAGCTTCCATTTAGACTTTCCATTAAACTGTGCTCTCTCTCTCTCTCTCTCCCTCTATCTCTATCTCTCTCTCTCTTTCTCTCTCTCTCTCTCTCTCTCTCTCTCTCTCTCTCTCTCTCTCTCTCTCTCTCTCTCTCTCTCTCTCTCTCTCTCGATCGATCGATCGATCGATCGACATTCAGTGGGCAAGGTGATACGGTGATAAGTCTTCTCATCGATCTCAAGGGGTTCTGGCTTTACGAGAATCGAGAGCAGCTTGCCGCTGATCCGTCCCAACTCGACGCGGAAGACGAAGACGACGATGAAGTGGATGACATGGAGCTGGCTAGCTCGGTTCCTAGCGGCGGCCATGTTGGTAACCAAGGTGATGGTGCAGGCGGCCATGTTGGTAACCACGGTGATGGTGGTGGCGACAGCCAGGATGTCCTGCCGGTGGAGCGGGAGTTCCGCGAGATGAGCGTGGAGGATTTGGAGTGAAGCTGTTTTGTGTGTGTGTGTGTGTGTGTGCTTGTGTTTGTGTGTCTGGCGTAGTGGATGGTGTACAGTGGAGAGAGATCTTAGTGTAAACTATGCGGGATTAGAAATTACTTTCTTTTTGCATGCAATGTACTGTACTGTTTACCTTACTGTGCATTGACCTTGATTCGTTTAATACCTTGACCATGATCTTTGTCTACCAGTCAGTCATGCAGTCTATCTGGAGATCATCACGAGAAAACGTTCTTGATGGAAATAAACTGTTCCTATGATGACAACTGTATAAACAACACATGTACTTGAGACCCGGCGGTACCGGTCCCGTCTTGCTCAGGCCATGGCCGCACCAACGGTTTTGGCTACCGACGTGTGTGTTACTGCTGAGGAGGTCATGTGACGTGTGTGTTACTGCTGAGGAGGTCATGTGACGTGTGTGTTACTGCTGAGGAGGTCATGTGACGTGTGTGTTACTGCTGAGGAGGTCATGTGACGTGTGTGTTACTGCTGAGGAGGTCATGTGACGTGTGTGTTACTGCTGAGGAGGTAATAATGTACACCCTAGTATACCATCCATAGCATACACAAACTGTATGAAATGCTAGGGTATGGCCGCCGGCCGGTAGGGACCGGCGCATTCTGCTCCAAAAGATGGCAGATTCTGCTCGAAAAGCAGTGAAATTGGCAGAACCATACAAACCTTATGGCGGGCAATTCCTCGAATTCTGCCAGTCCATTTCTTTATTCCTCGAATTCTGCCATTCCTCCATTTCTTTATCCACATACCAAACATGTATACTTGCCAGAAAAAGTACCGAATTCTGCCAATTTTCTGCCGGCAGAATCCGCCGGACCCTACTACAACTTGTAAAGCCTAGTTCACATTCGACGCAACGCCGACGGTACGGGACGTAAGGGCTTGTCGGGAGGGCTGGGGTGAGCTGTAAATCCTGTACGATTCGTACGACACGACATGCAGCAGTCGTTGCGACGTTCACCGTCGAACGGCGCGAGTCATAAGGCACGGTCCGTGACGGGGTGACTTTTGGACCTAATTTCTCGTTTTTCGGGACTTCTTTTCAATTATTTCTCCTTGAAAGAAGCGGAATCAAGTTCACAATACCAGTTTTTCGTGAAGACCAACAAATTAGCCCTGAAAGTTGTGGCATTCAAATAATAGCCCCAGGAAATGATAGAATAGTTCGTCTGTCACGCTTCTGAACTATCCCTAAATACAATAAGTGACATGAGATCTTATGTTGCTAAAATTCAGTTCAAGTCGTGCTAGCCATTCTGTGAGTTATGATGGGAAGCGCAGTGTTCGAAATGCTAAAAATTTCCAAGTACGAATCGGGAGCAGTCGGCGCACGACGCCGTCTCCTGTTCACACTCGAATTGCAGCCGTTTTGTATGCTTGCGTCCCCGTCTACGCCCGTCTACGGTATACGATATATGAAAAGTTGGATCGATCCAACTCTTCCCGTCGCTTCCCGATCTGTACGGTAGTACGGTTGCGTTCCCGTTCCTGGTGTTCACATTGGACGCCGTCAGACCGTCCCGTCGCTTCCCGTCGATCCTTACGTCGCGTCCCGTCGCGCCCCGTCGAATGTGAACTAGGCTTAATGGCCGGACCAATCAAAGACTGCTTCCGGCGAAAGGCTAAAGGGACAAGCTTATCTATTTTTGCGGATTTTCTTTCATAAAAAAGAAACGTCACAGGCTGCTCTTCGTAGGTGTCCGCGCGTCCCAGCGGGCCGGACAAGTGGCCGCATCTCAATGGGACACTTGGCCGTGGCCTTTGTACTGGAATCTGTGGGAGAGCCTTTCCAGGGACTACACACCTGGGTATCGGGTATGGCTCCTTTTTTGTTCCTTTCCTTTTTATTTGTTTTTTGCTGAGAAAGAAACGTTGCTGGATGGAAAGCTTTCTGTTCCCGCCATGCGCCAGCGCCTTTGCTCTAGTAACACATTGCTGGCTGATAATGGTCATTGCTCGTGATGTCAACTTAGAAGGTGACGGGAAGCTGGGTTTCTTGCCATTTCCAACTTCCTGACTCTGAAAATGTAGCTTGAACTAAGAGCTCCAAATATTTCAGTTTTTCGATGTGCCAGACCTATTGTTACGACCTGCAGACACGAGGAGCAAGTGAGGCGTTGGATTAATGCCAATAATGGTGTTTATGGCCTGGACGACGCCAGCGGTTTTCACTTGTCAGGAGGACAGCCAAGTTGGAGCAGGCAGATGACAGATTATTAACTTTGAGCATTTATAGCAGAGTGGGTGGCTTGCCAAAGAGAATCGTCTCAGTACCTCATGGTTACTAGTATCTGACAAATGCCTCTTATTGCTAGTCTGCACTAGAGCATTAGCAGAATTGATCATGTCACAAGTAGTGTCAAGACTTGATGTCCTACGATTATACTCAGATCATGTTGCTACTTCACAGGAATATTCGTCCTGCCCCTGTACACTCTTCCAGGATTGCATGCAGAAGTCACATGCCTGTCACAGTGTGCAAGGGACAATGCGTTTGCACTGCTTACGGATTCAAGCGGATGGAGTGCAGACCAGATAAGAAGACATGATCCGGCTATTCAAATAGCTTGGGCTGCTATTAATTGGCTAGACTCCTGGAAACATGGACAAGAATCTAAACCAGTCCACGGAAACAATATCACGCCACACAGGAAGCTAAATGGCAAACCAATCAAGTTCTTTGGTTATGAAGCCGTTCACCAACATTGTCCGGTTGCATGGCTAGTGTCACTCAAACAAG